CTTACGCTTCCGAGTCTCTCCCCATCCCATCGGGGTAGGGGGAGTGAGCAAGCAGCTGCATGGTGCTTAGTTGCTGGCTGGGGCTAAACCACGACAATCCCTTACTGAGTCACCTGTATTCAGTGTTTGTGTAATCTCTTAGAATGAATCCTCTTGGATAGACATCTAGGCGGTAAAATTTTGCAACACCAAAACTTAATGAGAACTAGGACAAGGAACTATTTCAAAATGTTTGATTTAGAATCTCAGCGGTATAAATAAGTGCACCACACTTCAATTAAGTGCTGCTTTAGAGAAGGATAATGTTAAAATTGAGGCATAACAATAGATTGATAGTTTTCAGAGCACATCTTGCTGTCCAGCTAGACATGTATTATGTTAAATAAAAAATATCATGCCCATTACAGAAAGGAAGTAATGCTAAAAGATGGGTTGTATCTCTTATGTCTTGAAACTTATTATTTCTATTGTAAGTTATACCTGTGGTGGAAAATATTAATATTGTTAAAACTTCAAGTTTATAGTATCAAGTTTTCTTTCCATATAAAAAATGTTTGCGTTTAAGGGAGGTGTATGTGTGGGGTGACACATCTAAGGTAGTCTAACCCAGCCTTACAGCTTTCATCAAATAAAAATCTCTTCTTCCTGCCTTTCCTTTCTCTTGTCCATATGATGACACAGTTGAGAGCAGGAAAAACATCAAGCAATGAGATAAAAACTGTCCCCCCTTTTTATGTAGTTTTCTGTTGGCATTTGTCCCTGAGCCAGGTCACTATGAGGTCTAACAAATGCTTGTTCCATTGCTTTTTATTCAAGAGAAGTGGCAGGCTTGTATGGCTAGGAGGATGACAACTTCTTAGCCATCCTAATCTAGGGATTCAGGATGTGATTTAATACATAAACTCATAGCTATTCAGGCAGCATATCCCACCCCCCATTTTATTCAAACACGGTTTATACCTTATTGGAAAGGGCTGCTGTGAAGCATGGTCTAGTATTTGGGCAGATCAGTTAAGTACAGATTTCTTTTGCTCATCTACTTTGGCTTCTGCTAAGAAGTTTACTCATATAACTACACTGACAAAGTCTTAATAGAGTATTTATGTTACATAATGTGATTGAGTCGCAATTAATCTGCAAAATATATGAGAGGCTTTCCCATGGTAATTCCAGTTAAGGTGAGCTACAACAGGGTTCTTCAGTAACTTTACTGGTTTTTAACCTTGTGTCTGCAGATGGAGGAGGAGGATCTAAGTGAAAGAGGATTGCCACAAATTGCTTCAATCATGAATAGAGTTAGAGACTTGAAAAACAAATACAGAAATGAAGACAATATCACAGATGAACTTAACTGTACTAAAATCTCAGCTGATACAACAGGTATGTGTTTTTGTTACTCTATTGTCACTTACACAACTGGTCTTAATGGCTGTTTCACTCTTAGTCTAGGTCAACTGAAAGGATTTAAGGTTTAGCATTTCCTCAGTATTAATGACCACAAAATACATTATTCTAACCTTGTTTCTTTAGTTAACTGTGTTGCTCTAATCTTGTGTTTAAAAAAAAAAAAATCTCACTAGTCTTCTTGCATGTAAGCTTATAAAAAGTGTTTTCTTCTGTTCATGTTTGCTGCAGTTTTAACCAATCTCCTTTGTTATTTTTCTGTCAGATAACTCTGGAACTGTTAATCAAATAATGATGACAACAAATAATCCAGAAGATTGGCTGTGTTTTTTGCTCAGGCTAGAGAAAAAGGGTATTCCTCAGACGGATGTTAGCCTACTGAATAGACTCATTGGTCGTTACAGTCAAGCGGTGACTGCGTTACCTGCAGAAAAGCATAGTCAAGATGAGAGCTATGCTCGCATCCTTGTGAGATTTGCTGAGTTGAAAGCGTAAGTATAAATTTTCAATATTAGAACTTGTCATTCAGAATTCTGAATCTGTATGATGATAGAAATGGTTTGTTTTCATTAGTAGTTTCTGCAACAAATTATCATTTTGAGTAGGGATGTTTTCATATTGTCTCCTTGAAACTCTGAGACGCTTTGGCTAGTCAGCTTATCTGTTGTCTCCGCAGTACTTGCATTTTTTTGTGTATGCTAATAAACATGATTGTTCAGAGCCATTTGATTTAGAGATGTTAACACACTTTTTCCTGGGTTGTATGTGTAAGGCACATGGGAAAATAACATGAGACACACCCCCCATTCCTACAGAAGCTGCTTGGGTGAAATCTGATATCACTCTGGGTAACTGTAATCTGTGTATTAAACTGTGTATGTTGTAAGTTAGGATTAATTTCCCTGTGGACTACTATAACTGATTTGGCTGTGAGGTAGACAATTTGCTATTATATAATCCATCTAGTCAAACCATAGTGGTCTATCCTTGTCTAGTCTGCTTTCTCCCTTGCTAGGAAAGACACATCCCAGCTACATTAAGTAGCTGCCTTAGGGTAGGAAGTATGTCTCAGAACATCATTCTATACTTTCATACTTATGAAATTAGTTTTGCTTGTGGCCATTGATTGCTTTATTCAACCCCAATTTGAACAGTGTGGTTGTTCAGAAGTTTTCAGACATAATTTAGGACAGGGTTATAATTTGATCTTTTTCTTGAGGAGTTTTTTAGTCACTTGAAATACTGTGACAGTGAGTATTTTGAAGAGCTGTGTTTTAACATTCCAGCAATCCTTAACAATTACAGTTGAGCAGATGATCTTCCAGTGAATATAGCTAGACTTTTTCTGTTTCTTGTATGTCCTTCCATTTGGCTTTTTGGCAGGTGGCTTGATCTTGCAGTATGATATGGTCTACTTCTTTGTCTGTACTGTCATTTGCATGGATCTTGCTGCATCAGTGTTTATTAAAAGCATACAATGGAAGTAATCTGTTGACTCTACTGTTGAGAGACGAGCAGGAGTGTGAATAATGACCTGCTGTGAATCCTTAGTATCTTGAAGAGGTAAGGTGTTTTTATGTAAGTGGAGTAAAGCATATCTTCCAGAAAGACCTCCTGTCCTTAAAGATACTGAGAGATGGCATTCTTGTTCAAAGGTTAGCTGCTTTTCCTCAGAACAGAAATTGTGTAACATAAGCTTCCAGCTCATACTTTCTGGAACTTCTTTTCCAGAATGGTGATTGGATGCTATCATCAAGTCACATCTGTTATCTCATTATGTATAGTAGGAGTTTAAGTTCAGAAAGATTATTTCCTACCTCCCTAATAACTTTAAAACTCTTGGACCTCTCGCCACTTGATCTTTAGAACATGGTTTTAAAGGTGGATACTTCTTAAATGGATACTAGAACTGTGTTCAGTATTCTGTGTACTGTATTGCAGAAAGCAAAACTGAAGGTACTGTCAGTAGCCTGTTAATGCTAGAATGCATGAATATTATTAACAGTTTTAGTTGTGGTGTCCCACTGAAATGTCCTTAGTTGCTTCACTGCTACAGCCTTTAAGAACTCTTAGGAGAGTAGCCTATCTTGTTTCACCTTTAAAATGCACTCTCTATAGCTGTACCAAAAAACCTTCTGTTTTGGTAACCGGCATTACTGTAGAATCTACATAGCTCATTGGGTAGCTCAGATCTGCTCTTTTTGTCTTCTGCTTCATGTTTTTAATTGGCAAATACCATCAGTCATATGTTTCCTGACTTGCTAATGAAAATTTTTTTTAAAAAAAGATGAACAACCCCCTCCCAAACCACTCTTATGTACCCACCAAAATCTGACATAGCCTCACTCCCAATGGAATTTTGCTGTAAGTATCTCCCTAAATGGTCCCCCATCTGAAAATTACTTTCAGAGATTAGGTAGTTCTTAATAACTTATTATAAGCTAATGCTTTCTCATGCATTGTGGTGTATAATATAAAGTAAATTATTTATATAAAACTACATTTATGAACTAAATGTGTAACCTCACCGGAACATGAAATTGCTTTTGACTGATCAGATCTAAAAAACAATAACGATGTTTCTTGTCTGTAGTTCTTGGAAATTAATGTTAGGGTAATCAGTGAGTGGTTAGTTTGGATCTTTTGTGTTTGGCACATTCACTCATTGCTTGCAATTTTCTTGGTGTTTGAGATTTCCTTGGTGTTTCAGACTCACTTTCTCTGTTCCTGGCTGTCAGTTTGTCTAGTACTATCTATCTTCTCTCTGCTCAGTTTTAGCTTCTGTTAAAGAAAATCCTCTCATCTCATGACTACTTAGAGTGGTTCTGATTTTTTTTCTTTTAGCTATTGCAAGTAAAGTTAACACTTTGATACATAGGTGCTCTGATGATACTGCCTTTGGTGGGAGAAGAAAGGTGCTCCTCAGTAGAGTTCTGTCTGTTGTTCTCCCAAATGTTCCACCTAACAGTAAAAGCAAGTCGGAGCACCACAAACTTCAGAAGCAGTGACAATGGCTTGAGATTTTAGTGTTTATTGTCATCAACACTGTTTTTTTCTGATCAAAGCTGGATTATTCCATTCTTGGCACTGGACCTGTCTTGTCTTGGTATTTTCTCTAGCTGGAGCCTGACTATGCCAAAACCTTTTGACCTATTATGATACTGAGGTTGTTTGAAGAACCCTTAAATGTACTCTGAAACAGGCAAAGGTGAACAGCCAGCTGCATCTGTGATTGATTATCTGTATTGCACATTAACCATGCCAGGCCTGCTTTTATGTAATGCTTCTGGCTGTAGCACAGTGCCACCAAGTGTGTGGCACTTGATGCCTGTTGCTAACATTAGGTCTTGTTCTGCATATTGCTATCCAAGTTGTTGCTGTGTTCTACAAGAACTTAAATTTTAACATGCTGTTTGAAAGTGAATGTAATTCGCATGTTACAGCTTAATGGATTGGAAACTTTGTGACTGTATTGCTGGAGAATATAACAGTGTATATATTGTTTCTTCTGACTTGATTAATAGGATACATTTTTCCGTACTTGGTGTTTCTAAAGCAATCTTCTCCGTGTCCCTCTGCCTTGCAACCTCCTTTGTATAGGACTGAATGCATCTAAGAATGGAGACGTTTCTCTGTGTATAGTGTCAGCATGTAGCCTGGAAGGGCTGCAGATGGGTGTTCTGAGGGAAAATATCTACATATCTTGAGGAATAATATAAGCAGTGACAAAGAATAAGTCCTTAATCTTTCTCTTCAGGCTTGAGCACATTCTGGTTTTTGGAAAGGGTCAGCTTGATATCTTTCAATTATTAGCTTTTTAAGACTCTTGGCTTATTTGCACTTCACTAATGGGTATAAGGAAGAGGAAAAACTTCAGCTATAGATGGATTGCTTTTCCAGATTTATCTAAAGCCATCGCCTAGCACATGGAACTTCATCCTTGTTACTCAGGCTCTTCACCTTATGTAACTATTGATATGCTGTCTTTACAGTCTTCAAGATCCAGAGGAGGCACGGGACCAATTTCATCTGGCCAGGCTGAACTGCAAGAAATTTGCTTTTGTGCATGTGGCTTTTGCACAGTTTGAACTATCACAAGGTGTGTAGAAAAACTTGTTTGGTGTTACTGCTCTGTGTTGTTCTAGGTTTTGTTGTTCTAAACTTCTGCTCTGTTACATAATTTGCAAGTAAACTGATGGATATTAAATCAGAAAAAGAAAAATATGGATTTTCTTTTTTTGATTGAAATTTAATGAGAACATGTGTGTTCATTTTTAATGAAGATATGCACACAGTTCTTAATAGTTTTTTTCCCTTTTAGAAATAACTCAAGACGAAAATTGGCAGTGATTTCTGTTTGGTTTTTTTTTTTTAAGCTTAGATCTTAGTGGGAGGTATGAGTAAGGCTCTTGCTGCATTGAAAAATGATGCTCAAATTTGGGTGGTAATTTCCCTTTAGATACTTTCAGCTTGCCTGTGGAAGAAATTCTGGCTCCTTCCAAAAAGCAACTGTAGATTCTTTGTGTGTGTTTGGTTTGTGGTTTGTTGTTGGGTTTTTTTTTTTGTTTAATTAAACCAAAATATGCTGTAAATGTGCAGTTTGGTCATATTTAATTTTCCCCTCTGTCACTCAAGTTCTTAAGCAGCTAGCAATTGGATTTTAATTGTCTTCTGTTTCCTGTTCCATTGTTGAACATTCACATTGGAACAGTGGAGATAGTTGATATCTTCTGTTGCTTCATAAAAGGCACGGACTGACTTTTTTGACAGTAACATCCATTCCAGTCAGTTGGGGGAGGGGTTTGTCAGTATCCAAAACAAAATGGTAATCTTTGTCATATGGTGCCATATAGTAGTGTTTTAAGCAAGCCATTCTGATAGGAGACTGATAATGTCTTAAAAATTCTGGTTCCATCCTTTAAGGGATGCCTGAATTGTCTGTCCCTGGTAGGGATAGCTGCACTGAGAGCAAACTTTCTGAACTGAATTCTGTTCGTCAGCGTACTGGATCTGGCTTGGGTGGGGTTGATTTTCTTAGCAGCTCATATGATGCCGTGTTTTAGATCTACTACAATAGCGTTGATAACACATTGATGTTTTAGCTGTTGCTGAGCAGTGCTTGCAATGTCAAGGATTTCTGTTTCTTGCTTGGCCTCTCCTCTGCTCAAAGGCTGGGGGTGGACAAGAGGTTGGTAGGGGACGCAGCTGGGACAGCTGACCTGAATTCACCAAAGGGATATTGTCCCTGCTGGGTGCTTCAAAGAGGATTAGTGTAACATGTGAGTTCTATACTGTTATTTTAAAAGTGCTGTTACTTTTTCACTGAGTGTGTCCAGCTAAGGCCAGAGGGAAAGGAGGAGAGTAATGCTCTGTTACCTCCTCATCCTGGTCATTTCAGCAGTGCTTTGGCACAGCTGCCAATTGCTTCTGGATTAATCTGTACTTCCCTTTGTATTAAGAAGAGAAAGTTAATTATACATTGACTTCCCTGTCTTGAGCAAAATTGTGAGCTAAAGCTCAAGTCAAAATTCTGAAATTGTGGTTGGCAAATTGATACTGATTTCCTTATAAATTGAATATTCATGGCCTGAAAATGGAGTAACACAACAAAGGTGGCATTCTGCGTTTTTTTTATTTAAATGCTGAATACAACTTCATTTAAATAGGACAGATGAGGAGCTGTCTCTTCCTTACTTTTGGTGTGCCTTGGGTAGTGTGCTTGAAGCAAGATTTGCTGTGAATTGCTTGGAACTCATGACCATAAATAAAGCTCCACTTTTGGCTATGTAAAATCTTATGCCTAGGTGGATCATTCAGGGCTTTTGTATGTGACGAAGTGGACTGATTGAAACTCATAGATACTTATGGCTTTACTTTTGTGCCTTGGTCCCTCATCTGTTAAGGGGAATAGAGCAGTTCATTTTTCACATAGGTGTTTTGGTATCCTGTCATTTCTTATTCAATGAGGCACATAGTACTAGGAGGAATTACTTTTCATTTTGAGTAGCAGGTCTTGTTGAAGCAATGTAACTAAATGGTAACTAAATACAGCCAAAGGTAGAATGCTGGTTAAGGATTATTAAAAAGAAATACTAAGCCTACCCACTTGCTAAGGATTTGATTATATGGTTAAAAAAGAAGTCATAACAAATACGCACAAAATAGATTTAAATGAAATGAATGAGTGCTTATGGATAAGGATGAGGGGGAAGGCCAACAACGCAGATGTCCTGTTGGGAGTCTGCTATAGACCACCCAAGCAGGATGTAGAGGTAGATGAAGCGTTCTATAAGCAGCTGGCAGAAGTCTCGCAACTGCTAGCCCTTGTTCTCATGGGGGACTTCAACTTGCCAGACACCTGCTGGAAATACAACACAGCAGAGGCAACAGTCTAGGAAGTTCCTAGAGTGTGTGGAGGATAACTTCCTGATGCAGCTGGTAAGTGAGCTTACCAGGGGAGGTGCCTCACTTGACTTGCTGTTTACAAACAGCAAAGGACTCATGGGAGATGTTGTGGTTGGCGGCCGTCTTGGGCTTAGCAACCATGATATGATAGAGTTTTAGATTCTTGATGATGTAAAGAGGAGGGGCAGAAAAAACTGTGACCATGGACTTCCGGAGGGCAGACTTTGGCGTCTTCAGGACCCTGGTTGGGAAAGTCCCGCGGAAGACAGTCCTGAAGGGCAAAGGGGTCCAGGAAGGCTGGGTATTCTTCAAGAACCAAGTCTTAAGGGAGCAGGAGCGGGCTGTCCCCGTGTGCCGTAAGACCAACCGACAGGGAAGATGACCGGCCTGGCTGAACAGGGAGCTTTTGCTGGGACTCAGGAAAAATAGGAGAGTTTACCACCTTTGGAAGAAGGGGCAGGCAACTCAGGAAGAGTACAGGGATCTTGTTAGGTCATGCAAGGAGGAAATTAGAAAAGCAAAAGCCCAGCTAGAACTCAATCTGGCCCATGCTGTAAGAAATAATAAAAAATGTTTTTACAAGTACATCAACAATTAAAAGAGAGCCAAGGAGAATCTCCATCCTTTGCTGGATGTGGAGGGGAACGTTGTCACCAAGGATGAGGAAAAGGCTGAGGTACTTAATGCTTTCTTTGCCTCTGTGTTTAATAGCCAGACCAATTATCCCCAGGGCATTCAGCCCCCTGAGCTGAAAGACAGGGACAGGAAGCAGAATGGAGTCCCCATAATCCAGGAGGAAGCAGTTAATGACCTGCTACACCACCTGGATGCTCACAAGTCTATGGGGCTGGATGGGATCCACCTGAGAGTACTGAGGGAGCTGGCAGAGACACAGCGCTGTGCGTGCTGCTAGGAAGAAAATTAACTCTATCCCAGTTGAAACCAGGACAGACGCCTATCTACCAGAAGGGCTGGAAGGAGGACCGGCGGAACTACAGGCCTGTCAGCCTGACCTCGGTGCGGGAAAGATTATGGAGTGGTTCATATTGAGTGCACTCAACAGGCATGTGCAGATCAACTGGGGGATCAGGCCCAGCCAGCATGGGTTCATGAAAGTCAGGTCCTGCTTGACCAGCCTGATCTTCTTCTATGAACTGGTGACCTTGCTGGTAGGTGAAGGAAAGGCTGTGGATGTTACCTACCTGGACTTCAGCAAAGC